GAAACCGGATGCGAGCGAGAGGTTCGCTGCTCCCCCCAAAATGAGTTTCCAAGGAAATGCGTGTTAGGGCCTCGACGTGAGTGTAGCTCGATAAGTGTTTATTTTGCTCAGTTTGGCACCGACACAAGCATTCTGTGAAGACGTGAATTTACACAGCGTGTAAACACACAGGGAGTCCGGATCGCCCTCCTCCCTCTCCCCCCTTTTCAAATTTCGATTGAATTTCTGTGACGGTGATGAAAACTTGCCAAATTTTTTTAGAAGAAAGTGATGATAATTAAAGCAGAGGCCCAAACAGGCAATATAGGGAATTTCAGAAGAATATCATTTCGCTTTGTCATATAACGCAAATATTGTGTGAAAGGATGTTTAAGTGGTGCTATAGGTCGAATCGTGTCCCCCGCAAAAAAAGACACGTCGGAGTCATAACCCCCAGGACCTCAGAAGGCCACCTCATCTGGAAACGAGGTCATCGCGACGGCTTAGGATGAGGACGTCATGGCGTAGCCTGGACCGTAATCCGGTGTGACTGGTGTCTTTACGAAAAAGGGGAATTTGGGCGCAAACACAGAGGGAGAATGCCCCGTGAAGAGCGGAGCCGTGTGGCCACAAGTCACAGAGACAGCCGAGGCGAGAGGGGGCCCGAGAGAAGGCTCCCCGACCTCCAGCGGCCTGGCCGGGGCCTCGAGTTTGGACCTCCGGCCTCCAGAACGGTGAGACGCAGCAATGTTCAAGTCGCTCAGTGTGTGGCTCTGTGTCGCAGAAGCCCGGCGAGCCGGCACAGACGGTCAACTGCTGCCGCGAGTGGACTGAGGGTCCCTGTCACCCCAGGAGTCCAGAGGGACGGCCGGGGCCCCACGCGTCTGCAGAGCGCGTGCGTGCGCGTAGCAGCTGGAAATCCGCCCGTGGACAGACACGGCTCGCCGACCGCCGGGAAGTCCCGTCTGCAGAACCATGCGACCCGGGCGGCGTGTGATGAAGACCAGGACGCACCACGAAAGGGGAAGCCACGCAGGGCGGACGGGTCTGGAGCCCGAGCTGCCCGCGGCCCGGGGAGGGTGACGCGAGTGTGCGTGGTGTGAGAACCGTGCCCAGCGCCGTGGAGCGCAGACCGCACCCGAGCGAGCCTGACGCACAGGGAGGAAGTAACCAGGAGCCTCGCGACCGGCGTGCATGGAGAGCCATCTGCACTGAGGTCACAGGCCTGGCGGCTTCCGCCGAAGGCCTGGTGGGGCTGGCGGGGCTGCGCGTGGGTCCCCAGCCCCGAATGCAACACCGGTGTCCCACCCCCTCACAGGTCGCAGGAGGGACAAGGAGACACCGGCTCAGAGGCCGCCAAAGCCCTGTCGCCTGTGGAACTGCTCACGGGCGACCACAGTGAGTTACGCCCAGGGCGTGTTTTTTGAATAAACGGAGGCACTTTTCAGATGTGAAGAAACATTTGGAGAGAGGATCTATTTCTGTCAGGCAAAATCGAAGCGCCGAAAATTTAAACGTTAAATAAATGTTTCCTGATTTGCATGCAAATTCAGTTGTAGCAATCTTACTGATGCACATTTAAAATCAACTTACTGTCTTCTACACAGATATGAAATAATCGTTTAGCGGATGTTTCAAGAGTTTTCTGCAGACACATGCTGTGACCCGTGGCTATAGCGACCGTTTTGTGGTCCGCGAGTTCACCCGAGGGGCAGGCAAGTGGAAGCCGGGCTCACTGGCACGCGGAGGCAGCTGGGGACTGCTTGGGACTGTCCCCAGAGTGCTTCCTGAACTCCACGAGGTCAGCGGAAAGCATAAATGGTGGCACCTGTCAGCCCGACAGCTCCGTCTCTGCACCTGAGGAGACGCCTGTGTTGGTGTCTCCACACGCTCGCTCCCGGCTGTCACTCCCGGTTAACGGGCCGTTCGTCCGCTGGCCAGCGTCCAGCCTTGGAGATGTGGCTGCGGCCGTTCCCCGCGTGCCCTCGGGAGAATCGGGCATCCTCTGGGCCTGCAGCTCAGTTGACGGTGGCTCGGAAGCAAAAGGCCTTGGCGTGGCCGTTGGAGGCAGCCGGGCACACGTGTTCGGTCACGCTTGTCCACGGGCCCCGATGAACCCCAGGTGCCGCGTGGCGGACGGAGGCTGCGCGCTGGGTCAACGCGGTCTTAACCGCCTTCGCTAACGTTTACTGAGCCCTTGCTGTGAGCGGGGACGGCGTGGAGCATTTTGCCTGGGTCACCTCCTTACACCCTCAGAGGAACCGGGTGAGCAGGTGCCCCGCTCGTCCCCACTGGACGATGAGGAGACCGAGCCCAGGGCAGCTACGTGCCTTACCCATCAGCTCACAGCATCACAGCAGAGCCGGTTCCAGCACCGGCGGGCTGGCCAACCTCGTGCCACATCTCCGCCTTCTGCACCCGACTCAGCCAGGCGATGTGCTCCTCAGGTAGGATACGGCCTGGTGCGTTTGAGGGGAAAGCAGGTGATTCTGAGCATGCTGGTAAGAGCAGCCATCTACTGAGCACCTGCTACCAGCCAGGCGACACTGTGCCCTTTGACCTGACACGTAATATGGCCCCATCTTACACACGAAGAAACAGATCTGAACTGCTACCAGCCAGGCGACACTGTGCCCTTTGACCTCTGACATGTAATATGGCCCCATCTTACACAGATCTGAGCCATTAAGCAGCTTGTTCGAGGTCACGCAGTTGGCATATCCGTCTCGGTAGGACTGGAAAGCCTATGCCTCCTGCTCTGAACTTCCTTCTTTTATTCAAACCTTCTCGTTTTTATTTGCTTTTGACACCTAACTTACCTATTAACCCCGGCTGATAACAAGGGTGCATATGAAATGTCTTTTTCCTCAAAGCCGACATTCATGTGTTCGTGTCACCCTAGACTAAGATAAGCTGAGAAAGTGATCGCCAGCGTCTTTAATCTCCCCCACAGTGCTCGGTAATCAAACAAGCAAACATGCCAATCGGAAATAGATTTATCGTCTCCCTTTCACAGAAATGAAAATTAAAGCAAAACTGAGAGGAAGGGGGAGGAAATTCTGGCATTTAGAGCTTGTGGCCAAGCCAGCCGTGCCCGGGGCCGGGGGGACAGTCCGCGGCTCCGGGGGAGGGGCTCAAGTGTGTCTCCCTTGACCAGCACGGTTTTCTGAAACGCTCCCTCCACCATATTTTCCAGAAGGCAGTGCAATAAGGAGGCATTTGGGTTGTATTTTCTGGTTGCGTAAGTGCTTCCCAGACAGACACAAAGGCAGCGAATGTCTGTTCTTTGCCCACCTGGTACTTACTGGTTCCTACAAAGGAACGATCGGGACGTGCTTGGCTTCTCGGGGTGCCCAGCACACGGGGAGCGCAGACAGCCCGGCAGAAGACGACACTCAAGTCATCCGAGTCATCCACGGCTGCCCGCAGGCCCCTGCTCGGCCTGAGTCGGACCAACACCGAAGACTTTTCGTTTTTAGCCGCTTTTGGGGTCCACGATTCTCCTCACTGGGGGGAGCTGATATTTCTGAGTGCTTCCTAAGCATACCTGTATGTCTTTTGTAGAGATTAGCTCACAAGAATCTGATGTGATAGCTAGTATTATAATCCTCATTTTACAGATGAGGAAAAGGAGATTTAAAGAGATTAAGGAACTTGCCCAGTTCATGCGGCCAAAAGACCAAAGCCAGGCACTGAACCCAGACTATCTGATCCCAGAATCCATTATGACCAACCGCAGCCTTCGTCGCCTGCAAACCCCACCCATGCCGGCTTGTTTAAGGCCCTTCCTATCTCTTAAGTGACGTTTATAAATATGTTTTCCGTGTGCAAAATAGGCCTGTTCTCAACTCACAGGAGAGAAGCGAATCATGAATCAGTAGATCATAGAAAAGTAATTTTCATTTGACGTTTTAAAAAATTGTCATCGAATGAACCATTTTAACCATTTTGGGCGTCCGGCCGGCCGGCTTAAGCACATTCACATTGAGGAGCCAGGGCCGTCCTCCCTCATTGTGGGACCAGTTTTCCTCCTGTGCGTTCGATCCGCCCTTGCAACCCTGAGGAAGGGTCCAGGTGAACGATGCCTGTGGAAGGAAGCAGAATGTGAGGGACGCTCCTGTCACCCAGGAGGGAGGGACAGCCAGCTCTCCGAGCCAGCGGGAGGGCGGGGGAGGGTGAGAGGAAGATGTCGGCACCGAGCTCCTCGTTCCCACCCTTTCTTTCTGAATCGGAACTAGGTGGTGAGAGAAGAAAGGACACGTGACCGGTCAGAAGAGGTAGGCCGTGTGGTGCTTCCTGTGTGACAAGGGTGTCCCTTATCTGAGAGTGCAGGACTTTGCGACCGGAGGCGCCGGCAGGGTAAGTTCAGCTGTGATCCCCCCAAAGACCCGGTGAAGCAGGTGCCTGCAGACACAGGCGGAGGCCCTGGCCGGCCCAGGCCAGCCACCACGCGGCAGAGGCCGGCACGGATTCAGGGACATCTTGCAGATCCAGGCCGCTCCCCGGTCACCCGGCACCATCTGTGTGGGCCCACGCGGGAGCGGAGATAAGGAATCTAAAACACTGCTTGAACCAGACTAGAGGGAGAGGCCACTTTGTTCCCCAGGGGCATAGATTAGCTGGGTTCGCTCTGCCTTCTCCCCCGGACGCGCGCGGCAGAGGGGCCTTCAGGGTGTTCCTTCTGTGGGGACGCCTGGGACTGTGCGTGAGCCAAGGATGATGGCTCGTTCTTCATGGTGCGTCCACGCGGACTGTGAAAACAGATGTTTGCTCCGCCACCATCACCCCCGGCCCAGCATCAGACAAAACCGCCCCAAACAGAATTCCAGATCTTATTAGAGAATATATCTAAAATACAACATTTATTAACTTACGATATATTATCTGGATGGAAATATACTCTGTATGACAACTATCGTTATGACACCTTTTACCGATGAGACCTCATTTATAGCTCTGTGATTCCAAAGTCACTGAATTATAACAGAATTCATATTTAAGATCACTTTGCTACAAAGATAAAGAATTTTAAAGTTTTTCTTTAATGTAACATCTTGGAGTCGTGTACATACATTTTACCTGGCTTACGTTACACGGCTCACTTTATCTCATGATACCCATTTGTGCTCAATCATCCTACTTTCCTATGTTTATGAAAAATAGCATTTTAGCTCGAGTGCTTCCCACCCACGGGCTGCGAACAAAGCCAAGGTACGTTTTCCATTCTTTATGTGAAAGGCCACCCTGTAAGCAAAGTCCCGGTCCCAGCAATTCTGCCAAGCGTGACAATGGGTCTGGCTCTTCAGTTTATTAGCGATCTCGGCGGGGGAGGGCTGAAGGGTCAAGAAGCGCAGACGCGGAGCCACCAGAGTCCAGAGCGCCCGGTGGGTCGGCGCTGGGCGGAAGGGCCATCCCGCTGTCCGTCATCGGGCGGCCGGCCCCGGCGGCCTCACTGGAAGGACGCCTTGACCTGCCTGGCGTGCAGGGGCTGAGGCGGCCGCCAGTTGTCCACCATGAGTTCCTCGACCTCGCCCTCCGCATTGAAGTTAAGTTTGCGGAACTTCTGCATCTAAAAGACAAAAGATTAAAAAATACAAAATAAACGTTCCACAGCAGCACTGGCTTCTGCGCTGGCGTCACTCGTCTGCAGCCGCGGGCCCGCGCGCCAGCGCCCCACGTTCGCCCCGAGTCCCCGTCACGCGCCCTCGCGCGCACACGCGCGGCCTTCACCGCACCCTGGCGTGGGGCGCACGCGCTGCTGTGATGCGGCTGGACTTTCTGTTACCTCCCGTTTCCCTTTCCTAAGCAAACATCGGAAGCCCAAGAAACACCTCTGAGAGGTAGAGTGACGGTGACAACTCTAGATGGGAGTTGGGTTTTGTTTTCTGCCCCAGCCGCCCCCGTGACGTCGGCTCCCGTCTAAGTCCCGACTGGGACCGGCGCCCGCACCGTGACCGCGGCGCAGAAAGCGCACCGCGCGGGAAACGGAAGGCGCCGGGTCTGGAC